CTTCCCCCCCCCCCCCACTCTTCTCACGATTACTTAGTACGTCGATTAGATTTTTGATATCTAGATTATTTTTTTTCTCCGCTAGATTTATATCCCGTTCTATTCATATTTCGTTGCCTGTTACGAGCGCGGCGATTCTAATTGCAAGAGGACGAGCTAGTTAGCGGCGAAGTGCAATTATGCAATCAAATGCAATACTACGAATTCGAGTCTAAGTGGTGTTATCTGGACGATAGAGATGCATTCGCTGAGTGTTACTCCATTACGTTCTTAACTTTGAGCAAATAATTACAAGTGTATAATAACGAGCGATTTTTTCTTTCTCTGCCGACTTTCTCATTCGATTTACTACCAATGATTACGTACAATTTCGTTGTAGCGAAAAAGGTGCACCTCTCGCTTTGTTACGGCGAGGCGAAGGGCACCACCTGTGCGCAACCCGACGAGATGCGCCGGGAACGAGCGACGTCCTTGGGAAACGCCGTCTCTCTTTCTTTCTATTCCTCTTTTTGTTCGCCTCCCTTGCAAGAAAGCGAGGGCGTGATATTTCCCACGCTGTCACGCTCGAAGAGGCAGACCGATGAAACACACTCGCGTCGCGGAGATTAGCCGGTCGCGACGTCCTTCGGAAACGCAAATCCTCCCCCCGTTCACCGGCGAGGATATCACACCACGTATGTCCAGGATATCGGTTTGCACACGATGCTCCACCGACAACTGCAGTACACCCGCCGCCGCTACTTTCGTCGACGTACGCTCCTCCCTTCGATACCGGACGTCGCACGCGTCCCACGCGTCCGCGGCAAAACGAATCGAAGAAGAGAGAGAGAGAGAGAGAGCCTTTCCCTCTACCCCTCGTCCTTCGATCTCTTAGCGAGAGAGAAGCGGAATAGCGACGAAACGGAACGCCGTTCCCCTCAGCACGGCGGTGTCGTCGCTCCTGCGAGGAGAGACCGTCGTAGGAGGGTGGCTGGTCGGGTGGCTGGCTGGGATCGAACTAGATGGCTCGTCGCCAGGCAACCGGATTTTCCCTCTCGGTCTCTCGCTACCCCCCTTTCCTCCCTCCTTCCTGGGAGTTCGCTCGTTCACTCGCACGCTCGGCCGCACTCTCCCTTCCTTTCTCCGTCCGTCTCTCGCTCGCGAACTCTCCACCGAGAGGCCGCCCTCCCTCGCACGCTCTTCGCTCTCCCCTCTCTCCACACCGCCGGCACCGGTTCCTACGTCGTATCTCGCTTACCCCCGCATGCCGAAGGATGCTGCGCGAACGAACGAACGAACGAACCGATGATGCGAGCGAAACGTCTTTCCTCTTAACCTTTCTCACTTCGTCGTCGGTGGAGTCCGCGACGGTCTTCCGATGGTCTCGCGATTCGAGCGAACTGTCGCGACGTAAAATAACACGCAGAAGCCAAACAGTTCCCTCCCCACTTTGGGATAGGACTTTTGCGCGACGCGATAAATATTTGCCAAGTCGTGATAACGCAGATAAGATATGTCGCATTTGCTATGTACACCTTAATTGCATCGCATACCAAAGTCTGTCGCGTTTAACTCGTTAATGCGCCCTAATAATTACCGATAAACGTTGTCCTATCTTTCGACTTAAGATGTAAGTGGCTAACTTACGGAACTTCAAGTAATTGGCGCACTTCAATCCCGAGATCTCTTGACGCGTTCGATTACCGCGACATCATCTCATTAAGTTATGTATAGAGTGTGACGATAATTTCATTTGAACAATTGCTTGTAGAATTGATTCGGCCTGATGAAATAAGATGAGATATATGCGGCTCGAATTACAATTATTTACGGCGAATAAATTACTTTGGAAATTCGACCGAAATTCTCGTACAGCAGCGATGCCATTCAGTCACCGGAAGAAACAAGTGACTGTTTCTTGGTAGAAAAGATAACAAAAAGTGATCTCTCAGGCACAAAATAGTGACCAAAAATGACATTATTTTCAAATTCCGAGAATAACTATTTAAGCAAAAAAAGTAACATTTATCTTCCCAGATTAATCTTTGCATAATTTAACACATTCTTTTCATGGTACGGCTTGAGTGTTCATAACAAGTAAAGACCATGGAAGATGCAATGCAAATTCAGAGTAGCTTTATTGAGGGGAAATGCAAAAAAAAAATATATATATGTATATAGAACGCCCCCCACATATTTTACAAATTTAACGGCAACTCAGGAAAGAAGTGACTATAGTAAACTATTTTGAACAACGATTAAAAAATTTAAATTTTTCAGTGACTTGTCCAAAGTAAGAAAAAGTGACTCGAGTGACTGGATGGCAGCGCTGCGCATATAGTGAAAAATCCATTTAATTGATTCAAACAAAATGCCTGTTTAAATATGGGCAAACAAATGTTTTGCTTGGGAAAGTCAAAGTTTGGCTCCCTGAACCAAATTCTGGTTTTCACGGCCAAAACATTTATTTGCCCATATCCAAGAGCATTTTAGTTGAATTAACTAAATGGGCATCTCAGTGTATAGAGTGTGATTAATTACATTTGAACAATTGGTCGTAGAATTGATATGGCCAATAGAGCCGATGAAACGAGGCGAGATATGTGCGATTCCAATTCCAATTATTTATAGATACGGCGAATAACCTGCTTTAGTAACTCCATCGTCGATTAAATTTTCGTGCAGTCAATGGAAATCAACGTTAACGTGTTAAGAGTTCTCCCATACTCAACCGATCTTTTATTGGAAAGCGAAAAAAGACCTAGTAGGCGCGCGCTTTCTGGCAAGAAAGCCAGGTCATTTCTCGGTCAATCCTTTCGATGACGCTAATTGCTCTTCCAAGCTGTGCTGTCACACGTTTGCCGAGGTGCGGAGAAATCGCTTGCGATTCGCGCTTTTCAGTCCACCGGCTGACCGAATGGCACTTTCTACGTTCTACTTGGAACCCGCTGGTTTCGGCGGAAAAAACGGCGAAGCCGAGGGAAAGAGACTCGGAGAAACTCGCGCGCAAGGACTCAATCGCGTAATGTCCAGGTGCGTAATGAGATGGAACTCTTTGCACTGAACTCTCGCCCGATGGTTACTCATCGTTTGCAAACGATGAACAACAGGAAAGGAACAATGCGGGATACCGGCACGTGAGACAGACAGAAGGAGAGAGAGGAGGAGGGGAGAGGTGCAAGTTTATTATGTCCTGAGAAGTGTGTCCTAGAAAGAATCAGTGATCAAGCAAACGGAAGTAATTTAGCCAAGGTAAAAGTACAACGAGAGATTACGGAGATAACGACCAAACATATGCATATATACATACGAATGATTAGAGAGAGTATAACATTATAAAATACATAAAAAGCGGATAATTATATATATATATATATATATATA